CTTCTTTTTATAAACCATCCTCCTTTACAGTATGGTTGAATTAGTAATGACATAATTTTACAAGACATTGATTTCATTATCATATAAGGGGTCATCCATAATTTTCAACATTTACAAAAGTGTACAAACTGTACGCTGGGAGGGAGGGGGTCAGTGACCCACGTACACTTTTCAAAAGATAAAAAAATGTCGATTCTGTTGTTCTATTGAATTTCCCTCTTGACCTATAATTTCATTTTCTGCCGCTATGCACACAGCGCTCCATTTACAACAACAATGGCGGTCCCCGATGGTGACAATAACCTGCAGAAATTCTTAGCCACACAGCCAGAAATAGTGCACAAAAACCCATCGAACAATTATCAATGCTTTATCAACACATTTGTGTACATCAATAGTCAGCTGAAACGGCAGCTTTATAAAGTTGCATGGCTTTGCTGCTCATGCTCGCCGTAGGGTAGGGACATCATCATCTTGTGGTGTGCGCCTAGAGGACATTAGGGAACATTTGTTGAAGAATGTTGAGAGTTTGACTAAAATTTCAAAGTCAAAGGTGTACAACCTACTCAAGCCAGCTCGTTCTAACACTGCTGAGGCAGCTAGGCATAAAGATGCTCTAGATGTCAGGGTGGGTGTAAAGGCCTGCAACACTAGCAAGGATAATGTCAATGCTCATGAATATTTTGCAACTGTTGGGTATGTACGTCAGATGTGTGCAGAGTATCCCTCAGAATGTACAGCTTTCTCTTGTGACAGCAAAGCTAAAATCCACAGTGGGGGGCAGGCTGTTTCCAGATACCATCAATTGAGAACATTTTTCCCCACTGATGACAAACCAAACTACATGGACCATGATTTTCCTGTACCTGGCTACCTCATTGAGCCTGATGGCTACCTACATCTTGTTTCAAAAAATGAAGGCATCACTTTCACAAAAGACAAATTAGGTTGTGAAGTTGTGGACACACCATCTTCAGGGCCCTTGATTGTGTATAATAGAGGTGTTAAAAACACATCAACCAGAATTGTGGACCATCTCAGTGACATATCAGACATATTCACCAAAAACCCTGCCATGAAAAAAACGGTTTTAACATTGGTCATAGATGGTGGTCCTGATTGGACACCCAGGTCAAACTTAAACCAATTCTTCCTTGGCAGATTCTGGAAAGACAATGATTTTGACATGCTTGTGACTTGTTGCTATGCACCTGGGCTCTCAAGGTATAATCCAGTTGAGCACAAATGGTCGCCCAGTTCCAAATGGTTGGCAGGGGTGTCCATTCCAGCTTGTCTGCCTGGTGAATCTACCCCACCCGCAATACAGTCACTTGACCCTGATGAGAAAATTGAAAAGGAAAGGGAAGTTTTTGGTAATGCACTGGATATCCTGAATGGGTATTGGGATAACAAGGTTCATGATGACTTTAAAGTTACATCTGTTCCTGTGAAAGATGCTCACACAGGCTCTGGGTATAGGTACAATGACTACTTAGATGTGAAAGACATGCTTGGCACTAGTTTGAGAGCTATCAAATCTGATCAAAAAAAGATGAAACTGCTTGAGGAATGGCATTTCATAGTTAAACACATGGACAGGAGATGGGGTCTGGTTTGTTTCAGAAAGGGTGCTTGTGGTGATAACGATTGCAAGTGTTTAGAAAGTGGAATACAGGCCACAGAGGTGATGAAGATTCCCATGAGTGATAAATGGTCTTTGCTTCCAATCACAGAGGATAAGGACAATTCAGGGCATTATAAAACATTCCGGCAGCAGGCTAAATCTCTTGTGTTCAGTGCATCAGATGAGCACATGAAACAGGTCAAAACAGACAACTGCAGGAAATGCAAATATATTTTCACAAGTGTAGCAGATCGTGACAGACACATCAAGCTTGTCCATGATGGTCTCCGTGCCTTTGAGGTTGCATCTAGCTCTGGTACAAAGAAGGTGCATAAGTGTGGGGTCTGTAACTTTGAGTTCCCAACGAGGTATCAACTTCTTCAGCATCAGGCTGATGAAGGGCACAAATTGAAAAGGGGCAGGCCATCTGCACAGAAGCAGTAGATTACAATGATTACCCTTGTACTTCAGCTTGGTGCTGAAGTGGTTGATACACTCTGGGCTTTCAAGAATCCAAATTTGAAACATGTACACTCTGGGCTTTTAGTAATCTAAATTTGATACATGTACCATCCTCTACTCTGTCATCAACATGTTCAATAAAACCAGGTACAATATATAATTTATGGTGTCATGTCATTGTTTTTCGAAACCCATCTTGATCATCCTGAAGGATCAACATTTTCAATTTACACTCTGAGAGAGGGGGGGGGTCCTAGAAAAGAGTACTCTTTGTACACTTTTGTAAATGTTGGTAATTATGGATGACCCCTAAGTTAAATCCTTCAACGTATATAATTATAGGAAATTGACCTACCAAAAAACAGAATAACTGTTAGAATGTTCACTTGCATTGTTTGGTAGATCAAAGCAATGTTTTATAGAAAATGTACAAGACTACTGAGAATATTTGCTATTGATTTTCATGAATGTTGTGCTTTTCCAGAACAATAATAATTGGCATGCCAGTAATGATTATTAAGTGAATTTTATCCATTAATCCGAAATCTGAGGGTTATCTAAACAGTTATATATAGTTATCAAGTATTATATTTTTTATGTTAAAACAGCTTCTCATATAGACAGTAGTATTGCTATGTAGAGCAGCAATAACCTTTTTTGTCCATATAAGGATTGCATATGTGATTAATCATCATTTGAGCTGCCACAAAGAGAGCTTCAAATCCAACATGCATTCGTTCAGTACAATGCCATGTTATTTCTGGTTTGAATATGGAATATGCTGGTAATTTCTTTATATCCAGATTTTTGCTAAGAAACGTGATGCAGTCGGACAAAGCAGCATGGGAAACAGGCAGAAAGGAATCCCACACAAGCACTTTTGGAGGCAGGAGCTGTGCTTGTCCATTGAGAACCCATTCTAGTATGGCATTGGTCTGTTGAGTGTATTTACCAGTAGAACCTGTAACATGTAAATAGGAATCAGATATTTTGTTATCTTGTGTTTACATATGGTCAAAATTAAATTTCAGTATTCTTAACTCCTTGCATTTATGGTAATGAGTTAAGTAATATGAAGCACTTATGACTGAAGTTTACAGACATGCACAGCATATAAATTCAACAGACAAGTATAACAATGAAAAAGACTGACCAAAATCGTGAAGCATAAATTCCTTGAAAGAGTCGGGCAGTGCCCATACAACTGTGGTCAGTTCTGACAGATGAGTCAGCAAAGGATATAAAACCTGCATCACTCCAATGGCAGTTGAGTCCACCTGGTCAATGATATTGCCTTTTATATCCATCAGCTGCCACGCACCTGTATCTGACATTGCCATGAGGTAAGACAAAGATACCTTGGCTTAGTGGCATGGGACAAGGGTGATCATTTCCTGGCTTTACTTTGATTTTATCTTATTAAATGTAATTATTATATATCAATTTATCTTATTTATTGGCATTTGTATAAATATATTACATTTATATTATTATATGTATATATGTATATATGTTTATAGCTATATATTTATGCATTTATATTTATATATTTATATTTATACATTTATATTTGTGCATTTATATTTATATTTTTCTATATCAATACATGTGTGTTTATATATATATATATATATATATATATATATATATATATATATATATATATATATATATATATATATATATATATATATATATATATATATATATATATGAATATATATATATGTATATATATATATATATGTATATATATATATATGAATATATATATATGAATATATATATATGAATATATATATATGAATATATATATATGAATATATATATATGTATATATATATATGTATATATATATATGTATATATATATATATATGTATATATATATATGTATATATATATGTATATATATATATATGTATATATATATATGTATATATATATGTATATATATATGTATATATATATATATGTATATATATATATGTATATATATATGTATATATATATATATATGTATATATATATATGTATATATATATATGTATATATATATATGTATATATATAGTATATATATATATATTATATATATATATATATATATATATGTATATATATAGTATATATATATATATATATATATATATATATATATATATATATATACATATATATATATACATATATATATATATATATATATACATATATATATATATATATACATATATATATATATATATATATATACATATATATATATATATATACATATATATATATATACATATATATATATATATATATATATATATATATATATGTATATATATATATATATATATATATATATATATATATATATATATATATATATATATATATAGTATATATATATATATAGTGTATATATATATATATGTATATATATATATATATATATGTATATATGTATATATATATGTATATGTATATATATATATATATATATATATATATATATATATATATATATATATATATATATGTATATATGTATATATGTATATATATATATATATATATATATATATATATATATATATATATATATGTATATATGTATATATATATATATATGTATATATATATATATATGTATATATATATATATATGTATATATATATATATATGTATATATATATATATATGTATATATATATATATGTATATATATATATATATGTATATATATATATATGTATATATATATATATATGTATATATATATATATATGTATATATATATATATATGTATATATATATATATATGTATATATATATATATGTATATATATATATATATGTATATATATATATATATGTATATATATATATATATGTATATATATATATATGTATATATATA